CTTCCTGTTCCTGTCTTCTCTGTGTTCCTACCCTGCCCTGTCTCTACTGAGCTAGCTATGATGTAGTACTGAAGTAAATATCGTATTGTTTATTTACATTATCTTTTTGTTATTCTAAAGTTTTGATGTAGCTCAGTTGATCCTTTTCTTCTTAAAGTAAGAACAAAATAATAACAATTTTGATGTCATTTTTAAATTTTAGAAATTGAAAGTTTTCTCTATATCAGTTGCAAGTAAAACAAAATGATTTCCACCATGGTTACACATTGTAGTAAACACTCAAATCATAAAAATACAAAGTATTATTCTTTTGTCTATTTGATATTATTTCACTTAAGGGAAAAAGTATTTTAAAAATGGAGTGATTTTATTAATCCATGAATGACTAACATTGAAAATCCTGCCTGGAAAGGACAGTTATTATTTCAAAATGGGTTAATGGGATAAAATGAGGGGAACTCCTAGGGCCCATCACCACTACCAGCACACGTGCAAATACACATACATGAGACAACGGGTAACGAATTTCTCAAACAGAAAAACATCTTTGAAATATTAAAAGTAAGTTGTAATTTTAAGGTTTATGGAGTAATCACGTCTTAGTTTGGGCTACCCTAACGAAGTATCATAGACTAGGTGGCTTACAAACAGCAGACATACGTTTCTCGTAGTTCTAAGACTGGAAGTCTGAGACCAGGGTGCCAGCGTGGTGGGTTCTGGCGAGGCCTCTCCTGGGCTGCATGCTGCCATCTTCCTGTTGCAGCTTCACATGGCAGGAAGAGAAGGAGAGAACTCTCTGGTGTGTTTTATAAGGGCACTAATCACAGTAATGAGAGCTCCACCCTCATGACCTCATCACCTCTGAAAGGCCCCACTTCCTAATACCATTCCACTGCGGGTTAGGACTTCAACACATGAATTCTGGCGGGCAGTGGGGGACAAAAACATTTATCAACTTCAGATCCTAAGATCCTTGACAAGATCTTTGAGCAGGCCTTTTTCTACTTGTAATTTAGATCTTTCTGTAGGAGTGTCAATATTACATATACACTTATGTAATAGACACAGGTTACATATACATCACTATTACCTGTGAAGCGCAGTTAATAAAATCCTCAATGGGAAATGACACTGGGCACATTTCATTGCTAAGATTTTTTATTATTTGGGAAATGTTAATGTTAGTCATCTAATTGTCAAAAATCAAACTCTTTTGCCCTAAGTATCTCTCATTAGATGATGATGTTAGTGATTTTATGCAAACGTGTTAACATTTTACCATATTATATTTCTGACAGGGTCTAAACTTCAGACAATCTTTTTAATAAAGAAGACCTAGGGTCTTCCTTTAGTCAGCACATGGCTTTAGTGGTTCTTTGCTGGAAACACCATCGTCATCATCATCATACCACTGATAGCTTGTTATGTGTCAGACATCGCACACGGAGCAACTCAGCGCTCGCACCCACCGTAGGAGATGAGTTCTATGACTGCCTGTGTCACAGATGAGGGAAGGTTAAGTAACTTGCCCAAAGCCACACAGGTGGGAAGTGGCAGAGCTGGGATGGCGTCCCCAGCAGTCTGGGCCTGGAGGTTGTGTGCTTCACCTGTACGCTCTGCTTCCTTTCAGGATTCTAACCTGAGAATGCCTGTTTCTGCACCAAGCTGTGGGACAGTCACCCCCGTTGGTGTCTATTTTGATCTATATCCACCTTTCATTAATAAAACCAATAAAACTTTGTATAAATGATCTGTGCAAATGTCTCTTGGCATTAAGAGGGCTCATGAGGAACTAGAAATTATACTTTGCAGTCCTTGTCTGGTTTCCTCAGTAATGGATTATGTCTATAGGATATGAACTTAATAGGTTGAAAAAGTGAAAGAATCATCATCAGTAACAGTACAGCTGACATCATATGGCTTCTGATGTGACACAACAAGGACACAGCATCACCTATGTTATAGTACTGCCAAAAACGTGTCACCTCAATCTAATGCTGAGGAAACAATCAGATAAACACACATTAAAGGACATTCTGCAAAGCAACTGGCCTGCACGCTTCAAAGGCATCAGTGTCATGAAAGACAAAAAGGCTGAGCAGCTCTTCAAGATTGATGGAGATGAAAGAGACAGGACAATAAAATGCAATGCATGGTATTTGTTTGGATCCTGGATCAGGGGAAAAACAGGTACAAAGCATGTTATTTGGACAAATGGGAAATTTTGAATATGGACTATCTGTTAGATAATGTTAAAGTTACTAAGCAGTAATTATATAATGGTCATATAGGAGAATGCCTTTGCTTTTGGGAGAAAGATGAAATATCTATATCTCTCTCTATATATATACACACACACAGACACACACATATATATTGAGAGGGAGAGAGAATATATACACCATGTATATGCAGCATATATACATATATACATGCTATATATTTATATAAAGTTAACAGAATGTTAACAATTACTGAATCTAGATGAATGATAAATAGATCATTATTATACTATTCTCACGACTTTTCTGAAGGTTTGAAATGTTAATAATTAAAAAGTATATATGGGAGTGGGGAAAGAGTGGGAATATAGATCAAGCAAGATTAATCCTGAGTTGGTCATTACTGAAGCTTGGTGTTGAGTACATAGGGGTTCATTAAATTATTCTGTCTACATTTTTTAGACATTTGAGATTTTCCCCAATAAAAAGTTTTTAAAAAGAGAATGGTTCAGTCAGATTTCATGGTGCTGACTCTCAATAAATGTTTGATGAGAAAACGCTGCATGACAGGTTATTTCTCTACCTTTCGTTCACACTCCTCCCCCAGGCCCAGCTACCATTTTCCTGAGCCTGGGCCCTCACCCTGCCCCCACTTATTGTCCAGCCTGAAGCTAAAGTGATTGTTTTTTTTCTGTACTGTAAAGCTGATCATACCAGGCGCTGGCTGAAACCCTTCAGAGCCTATCCATTGTTTTAGGAGGAAATTTTTCATGTACACTCAGCTTGGGCCCTCACTCTCCAGCTCCTTCCCTGGGGTCTGGGCCTGGGCAGCCTGAGGTCTCTGGTTCCCTCCAGCTTCCCTACACCTAGTGGAGGCTTGTCCCTCAGAGGAGAATACTCTTTTCTCTCTTTACCTAGTTAGTGCTTATTCATTCTTCAAACATCACTTTTTCATGAAATCCTTCCCTGGTCTATCTGCTTAGGGTAAGGCCCCCACTGTGGGCTTTTGTGACAGCAGGTCCATGTCTCCGGCAGCACCTCAACTGGACTTACAATTCCCCAGGGTCGGGTTGGTGCTTTCTCTCTCACTAGGTTGCAAGCTTCCTGGGGTCTCTGGTTTGCTTTGACCGCAGTAGGTGCTTGACACGGACACACATTTTTTCTACATTTTTAACTAATAGCTTGTTTCCCACTAAAAATATTTAGAATTTTTGTCTTTATAGAATTCTTTTGTACCTATCTTAAAAAAGATAGGAGATTGTCTCCTGAAGCTTAATTTCAGTTCTTAAATTGATTTGATCTCCTTTGATAATACAGAAACGTTATTGTCATAATGCTCCTTGAAAAATTGGGTAAGTCACTAGCTTCTGTTTCCTTTCACAATCGATATGACTTCATGCAAAATGATGTAGCAGTTCACATCATCCTGTCAGCCCCCATCAAGAAAATATTGTTTTCCAAAATTAAAATTGTGAATCAACTCACAGGAGGATGTTGTCAAATAAACAAAGAATCATTGCTTATATTACACTGCCAAATTTTTGATAAGCTTAATTCCTCTAAATGCATTTAACTTTAATGAAGAGTAATACAATTTAATAACAACATAAAATAGAATCATTTATCTTCCCGGTCTTAGACATTGGGCAGATGTCTTCTGCTTAATAAATTGTCTCAAAATGCAAACGTTTTTTTCCCTTCTCCTTCAGATTTTTTTCCTTGTCATTTCTATATATGTGGCTTGGGGAGTGATCTATAGGTCCGTGTTTAATTAAATCACTCATCAGGCTATAGTGTTTATGGTTGGAAATCTCTGGTATTTGTTGTTTCAAGTTCCTAAGGCAATGATATTTACGTAACCCAATAAAATTAGGTAATTATTAGTATATTAGTCAAGATTATTTCACTTGCAAGTGACATAAAACCAAGCTCAAATTGACTTAAGCAACAAAGGGAATTTACTGGCCTATGTAACTAGGGACTCCAAAGGTGGACACTGGTTTCCAGGGCTCAGCTGAGGCTGGCGGGGTCTGGCTCCTCTCCCGCCTCGCGTCCCCTGCGCTAGCTGCGTTCCCAGGGACGCGCTCTGAAGCCACACGGTGAGTTATTCATTGACACCAGGTGACCTTCAGATACCTACAGATCAGGCGAAGGGCTCCAGCTGAGCCCGAAGGCGGTTTACAGTGTGCTGACAGGAATGCTTTTGGCTGAAGGCGAGGTTTCCTTGGGGGCCGGCGGGACGGGCCGCTTGGTGCTGTGTCCCCGCCATGTCAAGGACGGGTTTTGAACCTCTGTGGAAATTAGAGCTGTAACAGAGGGTGAAATAGTTGCTTTTCGTGAAGAATTTCATAAAATATGATGGGACCGAACACAGTTTTGACGCATTAGGGGCGCGACAGCTATAAAACGCGGTGGGCGGCGTCGCTGGTAGGCGCGAGTCGACGGGACGGCGTCTCTCAGAGACGCGCCGCCGAGCCCGACGCCGCCGCTTCCTCCGGAACGCGCTCTGGAGCCTCCCAGAGCCGCCCGGGGCCCTGGGCTTAGAGCAATGCGGATTGCAGAGAGTAGGGTTAGCTCCTTGTTTTTCGGATGGTATTTCTAATTAGTTTCATAGAGATAGATTACATGACCCCAAAAGGTTTCTTATAGGGACTGAAACAGTGCAAAGGCATTGTCATCGCTAAATCCGATTAAATGAATGTGAGAATACAAAGAAATAAGGCATTGTGTGTTGACAAATATTTCAGTTCGCTAAGACACACAAAACAGGCAGCTTACGCAGAAAGCCGGTGGCATTATCCCAGGATGTCTCTCATCTACTGCCTATGAGGAAGCCCTGTTACTGCTATGCGGGGCCTCCGAAGACGGCGCCGGAACTGGAAGAGCCGTCGCTGACGCGCTCAAGTAACTAAGCAACGCTAAGATTCCTCTCGCCGAGAGGACTCTTCCTATATAACCTCTTCTCTGGTTAAAAACATTAAAAAATGTTAAAGGCTTATATAGTGGGATTGTAGGGATTTATACACTCCAATCAGTCGTGGCCTGCAAAAGTTAACTGTAAATTGTTGTCTACGTAAAAGCCTCTGTTACTTTTGTTTGTATAAATTCAGATCCTAAATAAAACTGCTGCTAGCCAAATGCTCATTAAAGTAGACCTAAAATTCCAAATGAAAAGTTATTGATTGTCGCGCCCACCTCGCCAGCAAGGAAGACGCGGCAACAGGAGTTCTTCTGACCGTGCTTTAATGGGGTTCCCTTTAAACTTACAGGATGCGGAAGACCCAGCCCGGCAGCGTGCAGGCCGCTATATACCCCAGAAGTACAACCCCTAAGCTGCTATAGGCCGCTCAACTGTCGAGCCACCAAAGCATTAGTCCATATCAGGACCCTTTGTTTGCATTCTCGCGCCACAGGGCAACCGACAATTGCGCATGCGCTGAACTTGTTTGCTGCTCTAGGCAAAGCCGGAAACAGGCGCCAACTTGTAATGGCCCGCGCCCCACAATTGATTTCAAAAGAGTAAACACAACTAAGCTTCTAAAAATCACTTGAAGTTATTAAATTGCCAACTTAGTTACTGTTATTATGTTTTTTAATATCTTGGTCATTTATTAAGTAAACAGTATAGGGTATAACATTTCAAATGAAACAGAAAGATATTGGCCAATAGTTTTTTCCACAGACATTTAAAAATTAATGGTCTGCTGAAAAATGGTGATGGGTTTTGGTCTCCCTTGCCCCAAATTCCTGGCTCTCAGAAAAAAATATAGCCTACTTAATGTCTAAGGGAAGGAAGGATTAGGATGGGGGACAGATGATAAATTTTTAGCCACTAGTATGTCACCCTAAGAGCCTGACTTAGTCCTATCACATTTCCCATGTATATTTATGTACTATACCATTTGAGTATTATAATAAAAATTTTTATCTGTCTCTGGAGGCAAAATTGAGTTATATATTAAATGGCTATTTTCTTTGTTTTCTGCTTAGGTATGCATGTAATGTGGTAGCATAATATATATTCCACACTTGTTTCATTCCTGCAGAGAGAGAATATTTTTGCAGCTGACAGAGTAAAGACATCCTGTGCTTCCAGAATAAGAGAGAACATATTGGCAAGATAAAATACAGATGTTCCCATTGTTTTTTCTACCTCATGGTTGTTTTCAGTAGAGATTAACTTTCATGAGCATATTTCCATGTCCTTGTTTGGGCAGTTGAGCATAGAAGTACGTAGTAAATTCAGGATTGTAAAAGACAGTTTCAAGGAAAATATTTCAAAATGTGTTTAGAGGGGGGAAAATAACTTAAAAACTCATTCCTCCCAAGAAAGGACCTTTTCATAAGAATGTTGAAATCAAAATAACTTTCTTATTTCTTTACAAGGAAGAAATTCTAAGTATATCCAATTTTTCTTTTAAAGAATTTTTTCTTAAGTGAGAAACAAATATAAACTTTCTCTTAACACAGTTTAAGGAAAATAAACAGAAACTTCTGTATCCTAGTCATGTTTGATGCCTTCCTCTTTCCTATTCTAGAAAGAAACAATCCAAGGAATATAACAAAGTCATTTGTGTAACATCATCGTCAACTTCTTATTTGTATCTATGAAGCCAAGGAGTTGTGGTTGGAATCGGTAGAGGTGGGAATGGAGGTAACTCTGAAGAGCCATTATTCACATTTTGGCTATTCATGTGGGAAAAACAAATTCTTCCAATGTAAAGATAAGAGAAACATTACCAGATGAATTAAGAAATTCAGTGGTTCAAATAAGGGGAATCAAATGTGAGCACTCAGATTAAATAACCTCTAGTAAAACAGAATTGCTATAAAATAAAAGAATTTAAGGGGGAAACAGCTAATTTTCTCAGTCAGATTCAAAAGGATCCTGAATTAACTTTTTAAAAAAGTGCATATGTCCATAAAAAAGGAAAAATCCAGACACAAAAAATAAATCTTGAAAATAAAAAGACTAATTATGAGACATTCTTCTAGAATGCAGAGCAGAAACTTCAATTTAAGAGGAATTTAAGAGGAAAGTCAAGAGGCAGAAAAGATTGAAGCAGAAGAAGCAGTATGGTTATCATAGGAGTTCCAGGACAAAACAGTATGGATGAATGAAAGCAATAATCAAAGAAATAAAACAAGATAATTTCTCTGAGTTGAATTCAGTCTTCACATGGAGATGGCTTACCAAAGACTGGGCAAGTATAATGAACAAAATCATATTCAGGTTGTTTACCATATTTTTGATAAAGAACAAATGCTAGAACCAGCCAATTGGGAAAAAAAGATCACATGCCCTTAAAAAAAAGTTTAAATGACATTGGACTTCTTGTTTGCAACACTAATGCTAGAAAACATCAGAGTATGGCCTCTGAAGAAAAGGTATTATGTTCTGAATGCCAAACCAAACTATTATCTAATGTAATGGCAACTAAAAGCCTTGTTCATATTTGCAAAAATTCGGAAATTATATGACTCAGTTATGCTTTTTTGGAAAATATAACTTAAAGTAGACCTTTTGGTGAAAGCTAATCAAAATAATTTTAGATGGGAGGATCAAGATGGCGGACGAGAAACACCGCCAGACAGAGTGTCTCTGCAGAAAAGACAGATTCTAGCAGAAATTAGAAAAAAGAAGCAAGAAGGCGAGCATACAGTGGACAAGGGCCGGAAGGAGGGGTACCTGAGACCCTGGGAGACTCCAGAGGAGGAGGCTGTGGAGGAGAACTGGAAGCTGAGACTGCCGGAGCAGCCCGGAGACCAGCGGGAAGGGTAGGTGGATAATTCACCTTTCCCCTCCCCTGCGTTTGGGACTGCTGGTGGGCTCCCCAGTAGGTGGAGAGACCTGCGGACACCAGCCCAGAGACGGCCGCCGCCAGCTAGTGGTGAGCCTGTAGCCGACGCAGCACCAGGCTCCCAACTCCCTCCCAGCACCTCCCTGTGCACAGACCCAAGCCGCGAGGCAGGCGCCATATTGCCTCCTCCTCCCCTCCCCCGACCCTACCCGCGGCTGCCCAGAGAGACAATACAGCCACCAGCCGGAGGCACCCCCAGGGAATGGGACCTTCCCTTTTGGGACCCTACAGCTGAATAAGGGGAACTCAGACTGTGAGCTCCCTACCCGCCAGCACTCCCAGGTGCTGCTGGCATGGTGTTCCCAGGAGAACGGTGCAGACTCAGAGGCTGAGAGACATAGAACCAGCCTGGGCTCCCTGTGGGTGAATTGGGACTGGAACTCCTCTGCCTGGTGGGGATACAGTTTGAACTCTGGGACCCAGAGGTCGGACCTGCAGACCAGATCCCGTGCACCGAGGTCTAGCATTGCCTGGGGCACAGAGATTCCTGAAGACAATCCAATAGCTGAATAGAACAGCAATTACAAATGCTCTAGAAAAAAAAGTCCGCGTCGCAGATGGTTTCACACCGGACATTTCTACACGTAAACAGAAGAAGCTAGTACCTATCTTGCAGAACTATCGCACACATTGAGAAGAGATGGAAACCGTCCCGACACCCTTTTATGAAGCGAATATTACACTCTGATTACCAAACCAGGCGGTGCAACAAAAAAACAGAAAATTACAGACAATATCCCTAATGACATATAGATTGCAAGAAATTTTTCAACAAAATCTTAGCTAACCGATCAGATGCTTATCAAAAATATCATCACGACCAGTGCTTCATCCAGGACCAGGAGGTTCAACATACGTAATCATATGCATTCACCACATAACAGAAGCAACAACACCTGATTCTTTCATAGTGCAGAAACTTTTGACAAAATTCACACCCTTTCATGATACGACAACTTAAGAAAATACATAGAAGGGACATATAAAAATGATACAAGCCATATATGACAGACCATACCAACTCCATACTGAATGGGGAAATTGAATCATTTCACTTAGAACTGGAACGCAAGGTGGCCACTACTACCACTTCTGTCAACATAGTGCTGTAGTCCCTGCTACAGAAATAGACAGAGTGGCTGATTCCCTGGCTACGCAGCTCAAAGGAAATGGAATTAAAGGTATCAACATAGGGAGCAGAAGAGATCAAATTTCACTGTTTGCTGATGAGATGATTATTATAATCTAGAAAACCCAAGGATTCAACCACAATTCCTGAACTGCATCAATGAATTTAGTAAGAGTCTCAGGATACAAAATCAATACACAAGAAAATCAGAGCATTCATATAATCCAACAACAATCGACTTGAGATCAATCAAGACTCAATCCTTCACCAATACAACAAAGAATTAAAGTACCTAGGATAATACTTAACCAGGAGGTAAAGACCTCTAAGGGAGAACTATGAAACACTGAGGAAGGAAATAGCAGACGATGTACAACAGATGGAATCCATACATGCTCGTGATCGGCAGACTCAACATCATCCAAATGCTATACACCCAAACTGATCTACAGATTCAATGCAGTACATATTAAAATCCCATCAGCATTCTTCACAGATATAGAAAAAATAATTTTACGCTTCGTATGGAACAAAGAAGTCCCGAATATCAAGAGCAATTTAGGCAGAAAAATAAAATGGGAGCATTAATATGCCAGATATCAAACTATACTACAAAGCTGTAGTAATTAAATCAATCAT